ATGTGCTTTCAAATGGAAGAGTAATTAAGAAAAGTTGTTGACTAATAATTAGACCTGCACAATTTCGGGTCGGCCCGCCCATATAAATGGGCGGGTTTGGACACATGCTTTAGCCCACCGGGCCGGGGCCGGCCCGGCCCGTTTAAAATATGGGCGGGCTTGGGTTGTAATATAGGCCCGGTCGGGCCTAAAAGCCCGGCCCGTAAACATATTATATTATATATATTATTCTATATATAATTATACATTATATGACTATACGTATAAAACTTAAAATAGTTGGAAGTATAATTTCATTACCATGTCATTATTCACAAGTGTTATTATTTTCCATTATTTTCATTATCTCAATGTTTTTACTTGGTTTATAAATAATATTTGGTTTTCATTATTTGATATTTATTGGCATTTGGCAGAGCAGTCTGGGAGATCAATTACTTTCTGGTGAAATGAAGGAGTGTCGAGAAGTTCTTGGAATCTTGGGATACCAATTACTTTTTGTGTTCTACTATTTAAATTTGAACTGTAATGATATACATTTGTTAAGTCTTTTTGGAGATACTCTTGACTATTTCCGTTGCACATTGTGAATCTGTGATTGTGCTTTTAATTATGGAATATGAATGCTTATTTGGAATTTGGATGCTTTTTATTTTCCAGAATCGTTTTGTGTTTCGCATTTAAACGTATTCTTGTGTTCAAAATGTGTTGTGAGTACATTAATTATTTAATTGCATTTAAAATGTTGTGATGTTATTTTATAAATATTTTCATTTTTTAACAAAGTTGACAAAAGGATATTTTCCGGGCCCAAAAGCCCGGTGGGCAGCCCGGCCCGCTCTCATGGGCGGGCTTGGACATATGAGGAGGCCCGTTTTACCGGGCCGGGCCGGGCCCGCCCACTACAAGTGGGCAGATTTTTTAGAATAAGCCCGGCCCGAGCCCGGCCCGAGCCCGTGTTTGTGCAGGTCTACTAATAATGTTGATTACAGAGAAATGACCGAATGGTAGTTACGATTGTCTGATACAAGAGCTAGAGTGAAGTATAATGCATGTGAGTGTTTAAATGCTAACCCCTTCCAATGTAGTAAATGCTACTATTTATAATTGTAGTGAGTTAGTGAGGTTGATGACATGGTGAATCCTCAATGGCCAATCTCCTTTCACTTGCAGCACACATGACTCCACTTGAGGTGCTCATGCTCCTGCATTAAATGCGTCCCTGCCACTTGTAAGGCTTTCTCGACCGGTGTTTCAGACTACCGTGACCAGCAGCCAAGGATGATATTTCCTACCTTCCAAGTATGGTGTTTCACCTGTTCAGTAACTACCGAACGACTACTGGCCAACGGATGAGATCCCATTCGAAATCCCAATATCATGTCTGGTATTCTTTGGGCTCTGTTGCTTTCCTTTGGGCCCTAGGGATATTTTGGGCCGGACCCTAATATCCCAACATCTATTATCTTTGAATTTCTCCGTCAGCTATGTTAAACTTTGACCAATGATATATTTTTGTAAGAAATTTTTGAAAATATAAAAATAATATCAAAATTTCTTTGTTGGAAATACTTTTATAAAAGTAATAAAATTTGTAACTTTCATAAAATTATACTAAACGAAATTATTTTTCAAAATAATATAGTTTTATTTGTCAATTTTTAAGTAATAGAGGTAGTATTTATTATTTTTAGGTGTTGCTTATAGAAATAATGTCACTTACAATACTTACAGACTACAAATAAATCATATTTTAGAAATTCTTTCACTTACAATAATTATTTTCAGAGTACAAATAAATCATATTTTAGAAATTCAAAAAATTGACAAATAAAACTATACGAAAAATAAAATAAAGTGAAAGTGATTAAGAATTCATTTTGATTAGAATGACATTATTATTTCATATTGCAAAACAACATGAATACAACAAAAAATGAACAAGTACCGAAGTAATGTCATAAAATAATTGACATATATACTGGTTTTTATTATAAATTAGCTTTTAATCCGATCGACGAGTAGTAATCCGCACTTTGAACATCGCTGATCAAGGTTGGTGCCTTGTCATCGAAAAATGGATGGCGAAAGAGAGACTAATTCCGACCTGGGCGAATGGAGGGGAGAACTGAAGGAGGAGAAATAGTCAGGCACCTTGTCATCAAAAACTTGATATCATATTGAGACTGATTCCAACTATGGCGAATGGAGAATGTTAACAGATTGGAGAAGGAGGTGAAGAAAAGCAAAGACGTTTTTTACTTTTTTTATTGAAACGGTTAGGATGCTTCTGGTGCTAGGTAGAAAAACTAACTGTTCAATGAACACTAAAAGAGTGTATTTCTTTTATGTTATTAATTAATTACTAGTAGGAAGGAAATGAAGAGGTGATAGTTGTGCGACAAAAAATCACCTTATGCAGATTACAATTTAGAAATGCAAAGTAAACCCGAACTGAATAACCCTAGATTCGTTGCTCCTCCGTGAAGCCGTCGGAGATGGATGGCGGCATTCCATTCATTCCAATAGAAATCATTACAATCATTCTCATGCAACTTCCTGTGAAATCCCTAATCCGATTTCAATCTATGAATCTCATCAAGAGCCCATCTTTCATCGCCACACACCTCGACCACTCCAACCGAGAAAATCCATCTCTTCTTTTCATCGACCACTCCTTGGTTCTACATTGTCTCGACCGCGACATGCAACTCCGCCATTTTCAGAACGATTCTTCTATAATGATTGGAACGATTGATGTTTATTGATCAACAAGAGCCGAAATATATAGTACATGAGAAAGAGTTGATCTATGACTCTATGTACGTAAAGGATAAGTACAACACCAAAATACATGGGGATAAATACAACAAATAATACACGCTAGTGATAATGATGAATTAAATATTAGTTATCCTTTACACGCCCCCTCAAGATGGAGGAACCATCGGATATGTATATCCCAACATGGCGTGATATGTATAAACGGTTGGACTTGGGGTCCAAACATTTGTAGGCTGACTGAGAGACAGAATATTCCAAAAAAATACATGGGACAGATCGGGGCTGTAATTTATGGGAGGTATAGGGACGCAACCACGGAAAGCATAAGCACCCAAACGGTTGTAATTTATCATAATTTGGAATGGACCGAAAAAGAAGAATATAAGGAGAATTATAATTCGAATTAGGTGTGGGCATACGGTTAATAAGGTAGACAGCTGTTTGGAAGGCTTGAGGCCAGAACGAAATAGGAAGAGATGTTGCATGGAGAAGAGATAGTCATGTTTCAACAATGTGACAGTGACGACGCTTAGTCGTGCCATTATGTTCAGGGGTATGAGGCGGACTAGTGAGATGGCAAATACCAGTCAAATTAAACAGAGAACGTAATTTTAGAAATTCGCCACCATTATCGGAGAACAGAGACACGATAGGATAATTAAATCGATGGTTAACCAACCGTTTAAATTGAGGTAAAATAATAGAGACATCCGATTTACGTTTGAGGGGATATAACCAGTTATATGCCTATATTTGGTAAAGTGATCAACAAATATAACATAGTAGAGATAACCATCAGATGACATGTGTTTAGTGCTCCATACATCACTCTAAATTAACTCAAGAGTTCTAGAGCTCATAAGAGAATTTGCACCAAACGGCAATTTATGACTTTTATTAATATTGCAAGAATTACATTAAAAATCATGAATAGACCGAGAAGATACGGTCAAATTACATTTTTTAACATGTCTACTAGAACTTTATTTGATGGATGACCCATACGATGATGAAGCTGAGAAATAGATGACAAACTGGTAGCATGAACACATGGCGATGGTGACCGGGGAGCATTATAAACATCATTGATGTTGTTACCCCTCATGAGTGGTTTCCCGGTGAGATGCCCACAAGTCAAACATCCAACGAGAAGAATTGATGGAGCCATCACCATGAACAGTTGTGGAGTTTACAACCGGTGATGTTGGGAGAGAAGTGATGTGATTGTCCTTCAAAAAACGAGCCAGCTTGCGACAATCTTTGACAACATAGGCACATAGCTGGAGAAATTACAAAACCTGCAGATGGGAGTGGAGCGAGTGGACGCTCCATGTGATGATGAAGGAGACCCATGAAAACTGGAGCGATATGTATTGCTACGAGAGCCAGTGGTATTGGAGAAACGATGAGGCTCACCAGAAGGAGACCGCAGAGTAACATTAGTCGTAGGTATAAGACTGTGGCTGGCTTCATCCGATTCATGTAAGAGGGAGGCGTTCATGGTCAGTGACAATTTCAGAGAGTTCCAGCATAGATGTAGCAGAATTACGAACACGAAGAGCACATATTATGGGGAGGTAATCATCCCCAAGTTGATTCAAAATTGAGATTGTCAGATCGGTGTTAGAGACTGGACTCTTAGCCAACGCAAGCTCTCCGGCAATTTCTTGCATATCTTTGAGGTAGGCAGAAATAGAACAAGTACCTCTAGGGTTTTGAGACAATCTGCTCTTGAGTGCCAAGATGCAACCGGGTGAAGAACTAGCAAGCTGGTTAGGAGAATGTTCCAAGCTTCCTTGGCGGTGACTGCGGATGAGAGCAGCGGTTGGACAGCTTCAGAGCAGCTGCCAAGGATGGCGCTGATTAGGATGTGATCATGACAAAACCATATGGAATAACAGGGATTTGGAATGTTCTTGGCAGCATCCGAAAATTTGGAAGGAAGAACAAGAGATCCGTCAATATAGGGTAGGAGATCGAAGCCAACCAATGTAGCTTCTATTGGAGCATAATATTATTAATGTACATATATTATATCACACGTACACATAGTACTACACCTGTATTTAGATAACCTCTCCATTGTACTTCGTATTAGATAGAGTTAGTTTAGCTACTAATTCTTATCACCTTTTCTTTAGCCTTTCTCTAGCTAGTTAGTTACGTACAACATTGTATATATACTACTGATATATCTCATTCAACATACAAGTATTCAAACCTTTACATGGTATCAAGAGCCATACTCCAACGAGCCTAAATTAAAACTTCTGTCATTTTTTTTCTGTATCCATGGCTATCACCGCCGACACCCCAATCATCTCCATCACTGCCGCATCTCATTTTCCAATCAAACTCACTAGCTCCAATTTTCCGGTATGGAAATGCCAAGTTCATGCGACCCTTATCGGTCTTGGCCTTGATGGCTACTGTGATGGTACCCTTCCGGTTCCTGCTCCGTTCACCGATACTGCCAAAACATGTGTTAATCCCTGCTACCAGATTTGGTACCGCCAAGACAAGATGATTCTTAGTGCCTTGATCGGAAGCTGCTCCGACACCATTCAGCCTCTCATTTCTTCGGTCGCAACGGCAAAACAGGCCTGGGATAAACTAGCTCTTACCTACGCTAGCACGTCTCGTGGTCGCATTATTTCTCTTAAAACCACACTTGCTCGGACCACCAAAGGCAACCGATCCATTGTGGACTACCTCACCGAGATGCAGGCCATTTCGGATGCATTGGCTCTCGCCCAATGCCCCTTAGCTGAAGAAGATCTCGTCATCAGTATTTTAAATGGTCTTGGACCTGATTACAGTGAGTTGACCTCTGCCATTCGTGTTCGTCCCACTGCACTTCCTTTGGCAGAGCTTCAATCTATACTCCTTGAGCATGAGCAGCGGCTTCTTGACACATCTGCCTCTAATGCTTCTCTCATACCTACTGCGCATGTCACTCAAATTCATGAACGTGCACATGCTGCAGATAGGCGTTCTATGCATGAGAAACGTGGTCAACCTCCCAGACATGGAAGAAGTGATCCACGCTTTTCTCAAACTCAGCTTGTGTGTCGTTTTTGTCAGAATTCTGGTCATCATGTTCAACAGTGCAGGAAGCTTCAGCGGTTTTTGCGTGACAACAAAATAACGCTTCACTCCAGCAGTCCGGCCATCAATCATACAGCGGCTACATCCTCCTTCAACTCACCATCTTGGATGTTTGATAGTGGTGCATCGCATCATGTGACTAATGATGCTGCTCTTCTGCCTTCCTTTGTTGAATATGGCGGACCCGATGAAGTTCGCCTTGGTGACGGTAAGGCACTTCAAATCACTCACACTGGTTCATCCGTTCTCCCCACACCCACACGACCCTTAACTTTGTCAAATATTCTGTGTGTTCCTCACTTGCACAAAAATCTTATTTCCGTTGCCAAACTTTGCAAATCTAATAATGTTTCTATTGAATTTTTTTCTACCCATTTTGTTGTCAAGGATCGGGTCACGGGGGCACCACTTCTACGCGGGGCGAATCATCATGATGTTTACTATGCACCAGTTCATTCCGTTCCTCGAGTCAATAATCTCCACCGTGACATCCAACCGCGGTGGCATCACACTTTGGGTCATCCATCCAGCCGTATTTTTAGTCTCCTTATGCGTCAAAATAAAAATCTCATTCAGTGTAATTCGTCTAGTTCATTTCATTGTATGTCTTGTTCAGTCAATAAAAGTACTAAATTACCGTTCTCTGTCAATTCTATGACTGCACTTCGTCCATTAGAACTCATATATACTGATGTTTGGAGTACTTCTGATATATCCATTGATGGTTATCGCTATTATGTCAGCTTTGTGGATTATTTCTCTCGCTACATATGGCTATACCCTCTCAAAAAGAAATCTGATGTGGCTAACATTTTTTCTCAATTTCACAGATTAGTGGAAAAATATTTCAATCAGAAAATAATTACTCTCTTTTCGGATAATGGCGGAGAATTTATTAAACTCCGTCCTTATCTTAATATTCATGGCATCTCTCATAAAACTACCCCACCTCATACCCCTGAACATAATGGACTTTCTGAACGACGTCATCGTCATATTGTTGACACAGGCCTTACATTATTACATTTTTCCGGTCTTCCTATACAATACTGGTCATATGCATTTCAAACCGCTGTTTATTTAATTAATCGTCTCCCTACTCCGGTCCTTGACTATACCACCCCGTATTATCGTCTCTATAATCAATCCCCCAATTATACAAAATTGCAACCCTTTGGGTGTCTGTGCTATCCCTGGTTACGTCCCTATACGTCCACAAAAACTCAGCCCAGCTCTATTCCCTGTGTGTTTGTGGGATATTCCTTATCACAGTCCGCATATTTATGCCTTGACCCAACTCAAAATAAATTATACACTAGCCGACATGTAAAATTTGTTCCTGATGTTTATCCATTTCGTAGCCCTACTACCCCGGTACACATGCATGAATCTGCATGCACACCGCCTCATTCACCCGTCCCTATCTCCCTATCAGCCCATTCTCCACCTAACTCAAATTTCATCCCTATTTCCTTGCCACATAACCCTCAGCCTATGAGTCAGCCACTATCCCTTCCTTGGTCCTCCCGTTTACACGCTCCACACCCCAACAATAATTCAAATTCTTCCTTATCTTCTGCCTCTCCCAATCAACCTAATCCCTTCCCTTCCTCCCCCTCTCCCACGTCACTTGGTCCCCACCAACCCCATACATCTCCTATTGACCACTCACCTACTTCACAACATTCACCCGCTACTCCCATGCATACGTCCATATCATCCTCTCCTCTTAGTCCTCACACCACACCATCTCGTCCACTCCGCACCCGGATTCCTAACCCCAAATATTTTGGGAGTCCCTTCGTCAATTCTATTACTACTCATCCTATCCAACCTATCCTTGAACCTGTGAGTGTGAAAGCTGCTTTAGCTGATCCAAGGTGGCGTGCTGCTATGGAAGATGAGATGGCGGCTCTTCGTCGTAATGAAACATGGAGTCTGGTTCCCCGTGGACCTCACCAACCTATCACATGTAAGTGGGTGTTCCGTGTTAAAAGGCATGTGGATGGTACTGTTGCTCGGTTTAAAGCAAGACTTGTGGCCCGAGGTTTTCTTAAACAACCTGGTCGAGACTATGCTGAGACTTTTAGCCCGGTTACTAAACCGGCTACTATTCGCATTGTTCTATCTCTGGCATTATCTCATAAATGGCCTCTACGACAATTGGATGTCAATAATGCTTTTCTCCATGGCACTCTATCGGAAGAAGTGTATATGCAACAACCACCGGGTTTCAAAGATTCCACTCATCCAACCCATGTTTGTCGTTTGAAGAAAGCTCTCTACGGACTCAAACAAGCACCTCGTGCTTGGTATCTTGAGCTGTCAAGGTTTCTTATATCTGCCGGATTTCGCAAGTCCAAAGCCGATGCCTCTCTCTTTATATACTCCTCCAACAATATCTTAATGTATTTTCTTGTTTATGTTGATGATATAGTTGTGACAGGAAATAATTCATTGGCTTTGGAAAATTTTATTCAGCAACTCACACGCCGATTTTCTGTTAAAGATCTCGGCTCTTTGACTCATTTTCTTGGCATTGAAACTATTCCTCATCCCGATGGGTTATTCCTCAGTCAACGTCAATACATTCATCATATTCTGGAAGAATGTGCTATGGATGGTGCCAAAGAGTCTGCCACCCCAATGAGTTCTAGCTCGCCACCTCATCTTGGTGTTGGGGAACCGCTCCAGGATAAAAAACAATATCGCAAAGTTCTTGGTCTTCTTCAATATTTGGCGTTCACACGACCCGATGTTTCCTTTGCGGTCAACCGTCTCTCACAGTTCATGCATGCACCTACAGATGTCCATTGGCAAGGAGTAAAACGAGTTCTTCGTTATCTCAAAGGCACCATCAACCACGGTCTTTATCTGCGGCGTTCCTCTCCCCTAACACTTACTGCCTTCTCCGACTCTGACTGGGGAGGCATCCATGATGGGGGTAAGTCCACTACAGCATATGTTACTTATCTTGGCTCCAACATTATTTCATGGAAATCAGCAAAACAAAAGACGGTTGCTCGATCCTCCACAGAAGCCGAGTATCGAGCAATTGCTCATGCAAGTGCTGAAATTTTGTGGCTTCGTAATCTTTTATCCGATTTGGGTATTCATTTGGACCAGCCTCCAAAGCTCTTTTGTGATAACCAAGGTGCTACATTTGTATGCGTCAACCCAGTTTTTCACTCGCGCATGAAGCATGTGGCCTTAGACTTCTTTTTTGTTCGTGATTTGGTTGAAAGTCATCAACTTGCAGTTCATCATATTTCCAATAAATTTCATGTTGCAGACATTTTGACTAAACCTCTTGGCAAGGCCCTTTTTGAACGTTTCCGGTCCAAGCTGGGAGTTTCCAATGGAACCTCCATCTTGCGGGGGCGTATTGGAGCATAATATTATTAATGTACATATATTATATCACACGTACACATAGTACTACACCTGTATTTAGATAACCTCTCCATTGTACTTCGTATTAGATAGAGTTAGTTTAGCTACTAATTCTTATCACCTTTTCTTTAGCCTTTCTCTAGCTAGTTAGTTACGTACAACATTGTATATATACTACTGATATATCTCATTCAACATACAAGTATTCAAACCTTTACAGCTTCGACCTAGCGGCACCAAACCGGAAAGTTTCCGGTGGAGACCTTGATTGGAAAATGTGTGGGAGCATTCAGTTGAACAACAGAGGTATCAGGAGTAATCGCCATGGTAAAAAGGAAAAAGAAAAAATAGCAGGATTGAGTAGAAGATATTCTACTCCTCTGATACCATATAATGATTGGAACGATTGATGTTTATTGATCAACAAGAGCCAAAATATATAGTAAATGAGTTAGAGTTAATCTATGACTCTATGTACGCAAAGGATAAGTACAACAGCAAAATACATGGGGATAAATGCAACAAATAATAAATAATAAACGCTAGTGATAATGATGAATTAAATATTAGTTATCCTTTACATCTTCGATCGATTCTTGGATCGCCGGCGCCTGCAACGGCTTGGTCTGTATGGTAAGACATCTACCTGGTACTTTTCCGTCTCTTTATTTGTGGAATCATGGTATCGGAGTGGTTAAACAGCTGCCTGAAAGCAAAACAATCAAGGATTCCCGTTACATTTATCATTTGGGATTTGGATTCAGCCTGACTGTTAACAATTACAAAATTGTCATGATTTATGGGATGCTGGGTGAGCCGGATACTGAAGCTGAAGTTTATTCACTGGCCACACATTCATGGAAGAACATAGATATGGCTAGCTTTAAGGGTATATGCATTGAGGGCACTCATGTTACTGCTAATGGGTGTCTCTTTTGGATTGCAAGAAAGAGTGGTTTGAATATTCTTGGGCAGTATTATGATAAGGTCATACTTTCGTTTGATTTAGCAATTGACGAGTTTAGATTGATACCGCCCCCTCCTTTGTCCAACATGAAGAACAAAGATGACAGGCATGGGCTGACTGTGTATGAGAGTAGGCTTGGCTTATTTTTATATTTTGATGATGCAAGGAAGACTACTATTGATTTGTGGGTGATTGAGGAAAACATTGATGGTTCTTGGAGTAAGGTATTCGCTTGTGACCCTTATCCATACTATGCACAACCGCTGACCATTTGGAGGAACCGGATTGTCTGCGAAATTGTTGCTAAATATGTATGGAGGGACGATGATAATGATGCTGATGGAGTTTATTTGTTGGATCTCACTTCTAATCAAGTCAAGGTCTTTTCCGGGTGCATATATGATTAGCCTCTTCAGGTGTTTAGATATGTTGAAAGCCTTGTACTCAACATCTTCGATCGATTCTTGGATCCCTCTATAAATACAAGGGAAATGGACCGAACAGCCTTAGAGTTCCCGATTCCTAAATTGCCTCACGCATCATTCTTGGAGCTTTCACGTTAGAAAGAGAAAGTCTCTACACATTCTATTTCCGCATATTACTCTGTAGAGCCAGTAGAATAGAAATTTTCTCTCAAGCTTATTCGTTCGAATAATGTGTAATTGTTATTCATGGATTCATCATTCTATATACACGGTATACGTTATTTGGTGAAATTTCTCTTCCACTTTTTAAATTCTTTCTATTATTATTAGTATATTTGACTGTCAAAATTTGGGCATAATTCACACAATTGGTATCAGAGCCATGGCATAATTCTGTTCGTCAGATTCCTTGAATTTTTCTGGAATTAATTTGCAAGTGAGAAAGGAACTTGAAGTATAGACTTTTATTCCAACTAGTATAGTACCCGTGCATACGCACGGGAAAGAGCAGTTGGTGCATATATTTATACTCATGATCTAATTAGAAATTAATATATAAATATTTTCCTCTTAATAATTAGCAAGATTATTTTCTTATATCTAAAAGCACCACATATGAGAGAGAGAACTCTCCCGCTCAATTGTTAGCTTACATATCTACTTATTATATCTAAAAGCAGTAAATATGGGAGAAAAAGTTTGTCTGCTCAATTGTTAGCAAGCTTATCTTATAATCTTCATATACCTCAAATCACTACGTATGAGAGAGAAAATTATTTTGTTCAATTTCTCCGCTCAATTGTTAGCAAACTTATATTGTAATATGTAGAAGCACTACATGTGAGAGAGAAAATTCTCTCACTCAATTATTAGGAAGCTTATTTTCTGTTACTTAGAACCACTACATATGAGAGATAAAGTTCTCACGCTCAATTGTGAGTCGGCTTATTTTATCTTATCTTATCTTATACTTAAAGGCACTACATATGAGAGAGAGTTTTCCTGCTCAATTATTATCAAATTTATCTTCTAATCTTATACTCCCTCCGTCCCATTAAATTCTTCCAACTTTCCTTTTTGGGCCGTCCCAAAAAAATCTTCCAACTTCCACTTTTGGAAAAAATATGCAGTTCACATTCATTCACCTTTTTCTTACACAACTACAATCATACATTTCCACTTTATTCTCACTTTCTAAATTTGCGAGCCAAGTTTGACTTGTAAGAATTTATTGGGACGGAGGTAGTACTTAAAAACACTACATATGAGAGAGACGCTCAAATGTTAGCAAGCTTATCTTGTGATACATTGAAGCACTACATGTTAGAGAGAAAATTCTCCCGCTTAATTATTAGCAAGTTTATTTTCTTATACATAAAACCACTACATATGAGAGACAAAATTCTTCTTCTCAATTGTTAGCCGGCTTATCTTATACTTAAAAGAACTATATATGAGAGAGTTTTCCCGCTCAATACCTAAAAGCACTACACATGAGAGAAAATTTTCCCGCTCAATTTCTTTGCTCAATTGTTAGCAAGGTTATCTTCTCATACATAGAAACACTATATATTAGATAAAAAAATCTTCCACTCAGTTATTAGCAAGTTTATCTTCTTTTACCTAAAACCACTATATATGGGAGAAAAAATTCTCTCGATCAATTGTTAGTCGGCTTATCTTGTAACTAAAAGTACTACATAATTTCAAGTGAAAAATGAGCATATAAGTTTTTTTATAATATATAAGGGCAAGTTTATTATTATTATTATAGTCACTAAATGTTAGCAAACTTATCTTCTAATACCTAAAAGCACTACATATGAGAAAGAAAATTCTGTTTTTGTGGCTTTAGTTTTTAGTTTGGGAGGAAGCAAGCAGACTAATTTGGCCAATAAAATTCCCCCGATCAATTGTTAGTCGGCTTATCTTGTAACTAAAAGTAGTACATAATTTCAAATGAAAAATGAGCATATAAGCTTTTTGTATTATATAAGGGCTAGTTTTTTATTATTATTATAGTCACTAAATGTTAGTAAATTTATCATCTAATATCTAAAAGCACTACATATGAGAGAGAGAATTTTCCCGCTCAATTCTCTTGCTCAATTGTTAGCTTTTTCATTTTCTATGACCTAAAAGCACCACATATGATAGAGAAAATTCTCCGCTCAATTGTTAGCTAATTTATCTTCTTATACCTAAAAGCACTACATATGAGAGTGAAAATTCTTCCTTCTAATTGTTAGCGAGCTTATATCTTATACTTAAAAGAATTGCTTTTGAGAAAGGAGGTTCTCCCGCTCAATTGTTAACAAACTTATCTTTTAATACCTAAAAGCACTATATACGATAGAGATAATTATCCTGCTCAATTGTTAGTTGAATTGTCTTATACCCAAAAGCATCACATATGAGAGAGAAAAATTTCTCACCCAATTGTTGAACAGCTTATAGCTTAATATTTCTTATATCTAAAATCTTTTATCTAAAGTCATTACATATAAAAGAAAAAATTATCCCTTTTAAATCATCAAAAACTCATGTTTTGTCAGGGCAGTGGAGTCAGGGATAATATCCCGTCAAAATCCTAACAAAAGCATTTGTTAGGAATTTTAACAAAGCATCACATTTTTTAAAGATTCCCGTTCATTTTAGATTTAATGCTGTTTTGATTCACCGGAAATAATAATAATAATATTTCAGTATGATATACATCTGTGAACTTGTCATTCAACCAAAAAATTGTGTACAATATGGACAATATTTTTAAAAAATGATCTCACCTTAGACAATATTATTTCAAGGCAATGTGTATAATTATATGTGATTTTTAGCATGTTTTACAATATTTTAACATTTTAACTTTTTTTCAACATTGGCATTATTTTAGCATGATGATAATTCAGACCAGATTTATCCAGCTAACAAAAAATCTAGACTATATTGTTAATTATATTTAACACATTTGCATGTGAAAGAATTAATCTCCATTCTATTCTTTCTAGTGCACGCGGAGCAAGCTATAAATAAATTATCCAGCTATAATTCCTTTTTCCAACTATGAAATTTGCAAGTCTCCAAATTGTGACGCGCAATTATTTTCTAGAGAATAATATGATATATTTAGTATGTGATTAAATTACTCTTTAATCCATTATATTTATTTTGGTCATAAATTAGGAATTGTTTATTATTTAATACGGAATAATCCTTATTAGTGTTGGAAAATAAGAAGGTTGCTCAATAAATCATCAGATATATATGCAATATTAGTGTCATATGAAAGATCGTAAAAAATTATGATTTTTGATATATTTTATATAAAAATCAGAGAAAAATGAAAAAGTTATGACATTTTAAAGAAAATTATTTTTTTTATACAATGAGGCCCATGATTATTGATGCCACGTTTTGTAATGCGTAGCAAAATACGGAGTACAAATGGTTACCTTCCTTTTATTTAGCGTTGAAGTTGGTTAGGTATGTTTGGGAGTTTGAAAGGAAGGGGAGGGGAAGGTTTTGGAGGTATGTTGTGGGAGGAGAAGGGAAGGGGAGAGTGAAGAAGCCCTTCTTTGTATTTGGGAGTAATAAATTTGAAAGAAGAGAGTTTTTAAATGAATTATAATTAAAATCACTTTGAGATATGACGAATTCTAATAATTGAACTGATATTTATTTTTAATTGAGATTAAATTACCATTTCGTTAATTATCCTTCAAAACCCTTCAAATACGGGGAACTCAAAAATTGAGCATTTAGAGGGTTTTGGAGGGTTGCCAAAACCCCCAAAACCATCCCCTCCAATTTTATAAACTCCAAACATGAATAGGAGGGTTATAAACTTCTCCTCCCCTCTAAAACCTAACTCCCAAACACACCCTTAGTTCCATATTAGCCCCTGAATTTGCCACGGCCTTAGAATAGCAAAGGAGAAAAAATAGGATTGAGGAACACGTAAGGTTATTTAAGTATAAAGCGGTTTTTTAATGAACTATTTCTTTTCATATAAATAAATAGATAAATAGACTTCATGTTTTTTAAAATTTTATATATACAATATTGGTGTCATATGAAAGACCGTAAAAAATATTAAGGCATAAGCTCTTACTTGAAAACTTTGATTTCAATTTTAATATCCAAATTTTATGGATTAATACTTCCTCCGTTCCATAAAAGTTGCAACATTAGAATTTCTGCACTATTCACACATCTTACTTTGACTACGATTTTCTAATAATATATATAATAAAAATATTATGTATAAAATATTAATAAATTTGTATTAATGTAAATTTCCAATATATTAACGTTTTTTAATGTTTACTAATACGTAAATAATTATAATTACAGTCAAAGTTGCGCGTTGACAAACGTGAAAGTCAAACTATTGAAACTTTTATGGAACGAAGGATAGTATAAAAAAATTAAGCATAATTATTGATGCCGTTAATAAACTATATCTTTATATATTCTATATTGATCTCATATGAAAGAAAAAATATTATGAAATTTGATATAATTTTTAAAAACATTGGAGCATAAATGAAAAAGTTATAACACTTTAAAGAAATTTGGGAATTTTTATAACTTGGGCCCACCAACCCCATTTCCCTTTCAAAGAACCGTAAGCACACATCAACTTAAGAAATTAGAGAGCCACGTGGCACAAGAATAAGAAATGAGAAAAAATTGGAATGAGCAACACTTATGCATAATGAGGGGCAAAATGGTATTTGGCAGATCTATCTATTTTAAAATTTTATATATACAATATTGGTGTAATATGTAAGACCGTAAAAAATATTAAGGCATAAGCTCTTACTTAAAAACTTTCATTTCAATTTTAATATCCAAATTTTATGGATTAATACTTCCTCCGTTCCATACGGTTCGGACCCTTCAAAAGGTGAACCGGCCCAACCGGTTCAGGCCCGAGCCGGGCCAATTAATTTTTTTTTTAATTTCTTTATAGTTTTTGGGTTGGGCTGGGTATTTTGGGCCATTTGAGGTGGTTAGGGTTGGTTTGGGGGTGAGGGGGAGGGTTGGGGGTTAACTAGGAAAAACCAAAAAAAATAGAACCGAGGCCCGACCCCGGGGGTTACCCGGGCCAGTTCCGGGCCTCCCCTTCATGAACCGAGGCCCGGCCGGGCCCGAACCGGTCCATCCCTAGACGGAGGGAGTACTACGCAAGCTTATATACCCATCACCAGTATATCACAGGATTCCTTATGACAAGAGTTTTTGCCTGTGGTGCTATTTTTTAATTGGAGATTATAATCCCGAGTAGGGGTGGACTTGGGTCCGGGCCGGGTCCGGGCCGGGTCCGGGCCGGCGGTTCAAGAATGGTGGACCCGGGACCGGCCCGGGTCCGGGCCGGGCCTCCGGTTTGGAATTTTTTTTTTTTTTTTTTTTTGCTTTCCTAACCCCCCCCCCCTCAGCTCCCACCCTCCCAAACCCCCCCAAACCCATCCTACCCATCAAGCCCAACCCGGGTGGAACCTCAAAAATGAAAAAAAAATAAAAAAAATTCAATTTGGCCCGGGCCCGACCCGGCCGGGCCGGTTCACCAAAATAGAGACCCGAGCCCGGACCCGCCCTACCCCCGGGCCTAGGCCCGACCCGGACCCGAGAACCGGGCCGGTCCCGGTCCCGCACAGTAGCGGGCCGGGCCGGGCCGGTCCACGGGCCGGGTGGCCCGACCCGAGTCCAAGCCTAATCCCGAGCAAACCAAGAGCACATATTGGCATTTGGCACGACAAAAAACCAAAGAAAATTTAATTAATCCAATCCGAACACAGTCATGTAAGAGCGACATATAAACAAAAAACACCACCTTTTCAGTTTAATGAGAATAAAATTTGAGTGAACAAGAACCAACAATAAATTGTCAAGCCAGCCGTCAAAATAAACAAAGTTTAAGAAAGAAGAAACGAAAAACGAACTGACTGACCATATGCGTCTCCTCCAACGAACAAGTATAGTTCAACCTGCTCGGGAACGTCTTAAGAAACATTTTGAAAACAGCAAGTAAATACACATACCCTCCCAAGTCTTCTCTATCTGCCTTTGAAGCTTTATATTACTCCTACTCATCATCATAATCACGAGGATCAGTTGTCCTATCTGCCCGTCGATGATCACGTTCCTTCCCTGATGGCTCAGAAGCAGCACGGTAGTCGTATGCATACTTATCCTCCTCTTCCTCATCCATCTTATCAACATGGCCAGAATCCTTGTAGCGTTCATCGTTATTTTTAGCCCCATGTGCATCCACATCATCATCATACTCATTGTGACGACTGTGATGACGGCGACGGTCATAGTAGTCATCATAGTGTCCACGCCCATGATCAGAAGGCTCATACCACCCTTCATCCCCAGGTCCTTCCTCCATCCCTTCATGGTCATGGTTCCTCTCTTTCTCAGCATGTCGGTCTAGCTCATGATCATCATAGTCATGATGACCTCGATCACGAGAGCGCCCACGATCATTCTCCACTTCGAATTCATGATCTCGATCTCTATCTCTAGTGCCCCTCTCTCTATGGCGATCTCCCCTTTCACGCTCATCTCTGTCACGTTTCTTGCCGCGATCACGGTCTCGATCTCGGTCTCGGTCACGCCCGCGGTCTTTCTCCCTAGTGTCCCTAGTTCTATCACGATCCCTATGGTGTCTATCATCCCTATGCTCACGGTCCCTTGGTTTCTCATGAGACCGCTCACGAGACCGTTCACGTTCTCTTTCTCTAGGCCTCTCGCGGGACTTCTCTCTGTCCCTGAAATGTTTCGCTAGTGAGTTCACTTTTGACACCAGGGCTGCTATTTAGTTTAATAGCTTTTTCTAAATTACTGAACATAAGAGTGTTACGAAAACAAAAAAAAAAAAACACAAAATACCTCTCTCTGTCATCTCGGGCCCTTGGTTCCTCAGACCGAGATGTTCCTCCTGGCTGCACTTGTTCTCTGGATAGTTGGGAGGACAACAGATGATAACTTTTATTGTTTTGAACATTGGCAGAAAATATTCACTTAAATTTTTCAAGTAGAGGAAACGAAAATGAGCAATTCCAGGGATACATTTTTGAAGAATATAGATAATAGTCACTTCAATTGTTACATCCTACTCAATTCAAATTCACACTGCACATATCGGTATATCACATTGGGATGTAAATTCAAGAATGTCTAACAATAAAGGATCCCTAGAATTTTCTGAAAGACAATTGTGGGTGAGGTAGGGAGTTGAGACAGAAACACAAACACAAATGCTGGCTGTTTCTCCAAAAATCCAGCCATATTAAATAGGAAAAATGGACAAGAATAATCCCAACTATTAGTGATCTGCTTGAAATAATTCAAAGTATCAATTATCTCAAAATAATCCCAACTATTGAAAAATCTTCTCAAAATACTCCGGTGACTTATAATTATACGTAAATAACTTATAATATTTATGAGTAAGTGGAGTATTTTGAGAAGATTTTCGATAGTTGGGATTATTTTGAGATAATTGATACTTGGGATTATTTCAAGCAGATCACTAATAGTTGGGATTATTCTTGTCAATTATTCCTATTAAATAACCATAATAAAAAATATGGCATCAAGAAAATCATGCATTGAAAAGTCGAATTATATTTTTTGAAAGTTTTAAGTTCTGGTTGACACAGCAACTTTGCTTTACACCGAATAATTTTAGAAAGAAAAAACTGTTAAAAGAGACAGTCTTCTGCTGATATTTAAATTCATTTTTTATTCAACAAAAAAAATTAACTTGTGTGTATCTCTTTTTGGTAAATTACATTAAAACTATCTTACTTTGATGAAAACTGACTACAGCGTTGAACAAAAGACTTCTGAAAAGGAGATTATGATTTAATTACACTTAACACCCAAAGGTGTCATCCCAGTAAGTGAAAAGGGGAGACCAGAGGCTGTTATCATTTGCATTTAAAGATGTATGCATGACAATGTTCCAGGTTACCTCCCAGAAGACTTCTGACTAAGATCTTCAATTCCTACTCTTGAAGTTCCAAGTCCACCACCAAGCCTGCGGGGTCGCCAATTTGGAACTGTTCTTCCTCTTTCAACATCAACAAGCACCCTTCTATTGTCAATCTTCTTCCCATCAGCTTGTTTATAAGCAGCTGAAAACATGTAAATGTAGGTAGAATTGGTGTAATGTTCTAATTTATGATTACCCACCAAATGAGGGAACGCAAAATAAAATTGAGATCTATAATACCTTTCATATCTCGAGTATGCACATACTCAATAAAAGCATATCCTCTGGGCTTGTTGTTTGTGTTATCCGTAACCAGACGAATCTGAAATTCAGATGACATAAAATAAGATATCATCTCAGGAAAAAAGAAAAAAAATCATGTGTACATGTCAACAATGAAACAATAGCATTATTTTTATTCCATGCCATTGAATATTTATTAAATTCCTAACGGCACGGCAGATAGGCAATACGCCTCATTAGCCGTGCTCACCTTTGATCATAGAGCTCCAAGCAATAGGCATCACCGTCACTGGCGGAGTTGTGAAAAAACTGTGGCGAATCTACTGTTTCCGTACATTCTAGTTTCCCCTTACCCGGGATTGTTTGTAATAAAGAAATGAATAAATAAATAACTATAATAACATACGAAATACCAGGCTCCTCAACTGCAGAAACATTTTGACTGCCTTTAAATCCAAAAATAAAATTTTAGTAGCAGAAAGTGGACATATGAAATGTTAAAAGGGAAAGAGATGTTTATACTCCCAACATATTTTTACCCTTCACCCAGCGCAGGAAAAGTATTGAGGCTCTCTTGTTGCTTCAAAAGGACCAAAATGCACAATGCATCAATTCTTCTGCTCAACTTATGAAGTTAAGCTTAGTTTTGCAGGAAGGAGAAAGGGCTTCAGGACAAAAATGGTTCCATTTTTACAAGTCAAGGATCCAGAAAACTCCATGAACAAAGCTTTTATTCTTACCAAGAATATTACCAAACAATTGAACCTTATCATAGAAGCTCCTTCTTGACTAATGGAATGCCGAGACCAGAAGAAATTTTGAAAGCCCAGATAAATTTGAGGAATAACAGGATAATGACATTATCGAAGAGTGAATGATTTAACCTGTGATGCTTACCAACCTCTACTTAGGGTAAAAAAACGCTAATAATCTAATTTCCCAAACTTAATTTTCTTACAGTGAAGTATAGCTTGGGGAAATATGGAGGTAAAATTCATGTTGCGGGAGGAAAAAGTTCTAAAAATATTTTCAATATCATGGCATGTTCACACTATAAGCACAATACATGCAGCAAATACATGGCAATGTATATACAAGTATAGAAACAAAAGGAGATGATATAGAAACAACTTTCTTTGACCATAGAAATGTTTTAAATTGTTTATAAAGGTAATTCCTACATCCCAAATTCAAAATTATTTTTCACAAGGAGAACACTGAAAGAGAGATCATTTGGGAACACTTTTGGAATAGATAAAGCACTTTCCCAAATTTACACAGTAACAACGATGCAACAAAATAACTAATGAAATAAAAAATGATTTAATTGAATAAAATCATCAATACTTAACTATAATGTATATAGTACTTAAGTAACTTAACTCAACCCAAACGTGCTATTTACAAGCCATTTCAATTGGGAAGTAAGCATGGGATCAAGTTTACTTTTCCAAAAACAACTTAAAATGTAACAAAATGTGCAAATGGGCATATGAACATCTTTATTTTTAGTGGAAAAGATTTAAAACATATTTGAGATTTTGACCAATTTGTGGTAGGCAACCTCATTGGGAAATTGGTTGGAAATTTACTAGTGAAGAGCAATAAATTCATATGGTTTACCTCTTACCGACACAAAAAGCCAATAATTGGAACTAATTCCTACAGTTTACCTCTTACCGACACAAAAAGCCAATAATTGGAACCCCCTCTTGGGTTCTCTACAATACCTACCCTCTTTATTGGACCATAGGCCTCAAATTCCCTTTTGATTCTGCTTTCAGTTGTCTCATAGTTCTGTTCACAAACACAAAGCATCAAATAAGTCTTCTATTTCACACAGATAGGTAGTTTGATTTAGCCATTTAGGATATGAAAAACTTGAAACCAATTCATACTCACAAGTCTAGCTACAAACAATGTCTTGTATGGATCTCCAGTAGCATTTGAGTCATTATTTGGATCATCTGCAATAATATTTAAGATCATCAGTCATTTCTTCATATGCATGGACATCTATATATTAGAGAACATGCAGGAAGTGAATACAAATGTACATTTTTCAAGCTCTTCAACAGCCTTCTGTGCACCCTTTTCAAGTCGTAACTTGTGAATCCTGGCCTTTCTCTCCACCTATTAAAAACAAGAAATTGAAAATGCCATTGGAAAAATTAATCAGATTTAGAGTTCAGAGTATTCAGACTGATTATCAATAGAGAAGAACCATTAGCAGGATCTTGAGAATAAAAAAAATGGAATAAGCATTATCATTGTTCATAGGGAAAATTGCCGAAATAGAAGTAAAAACGTTTTGATCTTCTAAAATATGAGTACTATGTTTTTATTCCCTAAATAGGAGTAATCACTGCCAAGCTTGAAAAATATTGACATGTTTAAAGCCTGATAATGCAAAAACATGGCAGTAAAACATGGTCCTATTTTGGAATTCAGAAACGTTTTTAGTCTTATTTAGGGAAATTTCTTTTGTTCATACAAATAAATATAACTTAATACAAAAGGGAAATGAACATCTTGCAATTACAATTTACAAGCAGTGCCCTTACCAAACTAACTGGTCTCGAGACAGAAATCCAATTATCAAATAAAAGTTTAACATATACGGAGTAACACATTATAAGGATTATGTCTTACTGGAGTTTCCACCTCCTTGATAGGTGGGGCATATTCTGGATCACCAGGCTCCGCAAAAATTTTCGCAAATTGGGCCATACCTATACGGAAAAACAATTTCAATTTTTACTCCATAATTGAACAAAAAAGGAAGTGCAGGTGATTAGAAAGTTCAACAAAAACCTGAATAAGGAGGGCATTTTCTCTTCTCAGGAGGTGGTTTGAATTCCAAAGGTGGGCGAGGTTCAAACAATTTTAGCAAATTATTCGTCAGCCCCGTTGGGTGGCTTTGACCAATCTGCATTACAACAATCAGATTAGCAATAGATCATATAATAAACTGGTCTCTGGAAAATATTACTCTGCATTCAGTTAAAAACAATTCCTCAACAGTTTCAACTTTCAATCATTCCCCAAACATATTAATTAGCGACTGTTTCCAGTCAGAAGCAATGATATAGATTTCTACTTGGAGATAGAATCAGGAAACATAATCAGCAACGGAAGACTTAAACTCAACGAGTCATCGTCCAGAACTTAATCCAATGCCAAATTTCGAAATCCAAGTAATGCGAGCTGATATAGTCCTATGTTTACCAAAATCAACATAATCTAATCATATTCAGCATAAGTTCAGCTCAGATAAATTTATAACAGAACATATGCTATTATGCAAACTATCCTAACCCGGTATAATAAAAACTTACCAGCTTGAGTTGCATAACATTGGCACGGTTTTGGGCCTTCGTGCGAGCCTGGACGGCGGCGTTGTTGCGCATGAAAGCATCGTTGGGGTCTCCCATCGTAGGCGATATGGAAGCGACGCCTAGGGTTTAGTTCGGTGTATTGAGCACCGCTATTTAGTTAAGGTGACCGGAACGGCTTAGATCAAGCGTTTAAGTATAGAACTGGATCTTAACGATTGACTTAGAGATCTCAATCTTCACTGTCGTACATAACAGCGGCAGAAGCGCCAGTAGAGAGGAGAAGGGGTTTGGGGCAAAGTATGTGTTTGTAATTATACTCGCAATTTTTTACATCTCCAAAGGGTTTTGGGGCAATCAGCAATTTTTAATACTCCATCCCTTGGGGCAACTTTGCTTATTTTCTTAAAGGAGAAAAGAGGCAAATGAGGGCTCTAATTATTGACGACTTTACAATCAAGCTCGTGAATTGAAAGACTTGCACGTAGATTTCTCATCTCGTTGCAAATTAAGTAATCAAATTCTTTTTATCTTTCGGTGCCGATAATTTCTCCATCTTCTTACCTACACCAGCAGGTAAAAAAGAATTTGATTGCATAATTTTCAATGAGTTAAATGGTGTATCTGCAAGTCTTCCGAGTTCCGATTCAAGGGTTTGATTGCAGAATCACAAATAGTTCGAGGACTTATTTGCCTTTTTTCTCTTCTTAAATTGAATTTATTAAGTAGTACATTTTCACTTTCTCACATTATACTTGGGCAAAATTTCTTCGTCTCCGATTTCTTATACACACCATGTATACACATTTATGAGAGAAGGTTATATTCACAAACATATTTTGTCAACGAACGAGATTTACATACAAATAATAGCTTTCTTAGAGAAATGTATAACAAAGTGTGTACAAACAAATTTTTCATATTCTTGTCAGTCGTTTCATAATTTATATATTGTAAACTCGTCATACTCCTTTTTATATATCATTGATTGTTACTCATCTTGTAAACTCGTTCATTCATAACCAATACCGTAAAGATATATGTAGTGTTTATTTGTTAAAAAAATCATTAGTATTATATTATGAATTTTTAATAAAATTTGTTCTTAGTGATGTGTAAATTGGAATGAGAGAAGTCTCCTATTTATATGATGTTAAATTAGAATTAGAAAATGCTCTTATTTACAGGTGAAAACTTAAACTTATCTATATTAGAATTTAATTGTGAAGCACACAATCATAATTAAAATTTCCTATTTTTCGTATGATGAAAATTACTTCCTAATCATGACTATTTTCGGTGTTTAATATTGATATATAAAATTTGACATATTATCCGCATGTGATTTAAAAAATGCGTCAAATCCATGTGTTATAATTAGTCATGCGCAAAACCCCCTCTATGAACAAATTTAATTTTACAAACTAACAAAAAATGATTAGTAGGTTTGTATATTTTAGAGATCTTTACAAATTTACATGCATACACTATCATAATATTAAGATAAGTGATTTTCAAATTGTTAAATTTGTTCTTAGAAGAGGTTTTGCGCGTGAATTATAACACAGAGAGGTTTGAAGCAAATCATACGAGGTTAATATGCTGAATTTATATACCATAAACGACTTTGGTGCATTAAACCCGAGAAGCTACTATCTTATCACATACTTCGTATAACCGGATATCACCACGCACCCATTTTTCTTCAGTGACCCAACCAAGTGCTTCTCGAAGCCTATCTGCCTATGCATGTCAATGAATCGGGTCTAGACCCAGTCTCGACCTGAATCTGCATTTTAAACGAGTATGGTATGGTATATGTCATTTCGACCCAGTTTCAGACTCATGTCTGCATTTAATTCCGTTTATCGGGCCCAAATCCGAGCTCGGTATGCCTCATAATAAATGGGTCGGGTATGGACGTATGGTATATGTCATTACAAGCCGTGTTGGACCTGATCCATTACATGTATACATATATATAAATCTAATAAAAGATGACTCTCGTTGCCCACATGGCCACATGCCACCATAATGTGTTGTACATATTCATGATTATATTACTTCATTACTATTTACTATTATGTATTTGTATTTATCATATATGTACTTATGTAGTATGTAATAAAATAATACTAACGGATCCAGATCTAGGACATATGTTCCAGCCCGTGTCCGACCCGGCGACCCGACTCGTTAACAGGCCTATCGAAGTTTGAGTGTTTTCGCCTCCCGAATCTCAAGGTAATATCTGCAGTGATCTCCCTCGTCCAAAAAGCCGCCATTATTGTCTCGTAAAACCCAGATTTTTCATTTTCAATGGGGGTCATTTAACAATGGGTTGGTGAAGCTCAAATTCAGTGGCGGATCTATGAATTAAGTTTTGGGTGTTCATTTTTTTCTATAATTAAAATTTGAAAAGATAATAAATAATTAAACTAAATTAATACATGCATACTACCATATTTTTCAAAATCCTAGGTATTCATATGAATACCTTTGAACTAAAGTGTTTCCGCCACCGAGCCGAGTGATATTTAAAGATTGACTACGCCCACGATCCAGCAGCTAGAGGGCTATTACATATTTGGATGAGATATTTGAATCCAAATTTCAGTTTGAAACATTTGTAATGAAGTCCTTGGAGTGAGTGAATCAAGGTACGTGTAAAATTAACTATTTGATTACTTGTAGAGGTGAGTTCTAATACAAAGAGGTCTTCCCATGAAAAGTGAGAACTAATCTAAGCCCTTGATTACTTAAAAATGGATGGTATAGATCAAAACCCGCGATCAACAAAAATGTGTAATACATAATAGCAAAAGTGCATATGCAATATGTAATGGTGTACATTCACCTTCTAAAAAACATCAGAAAAGATCATTATACTTGTTATATTTTTCTCGAAAAGTAATGCACTTTTTTGTTAGTCTAATGCACTTTTCCCCTGTAGTGATGCACATTTGTCACGTTAGTTTTCAAAAAAGTTTTTAATAATTACACTTTTGGCACCGAATTTTCCCTTAAAATTGATCTGATTCACTCGTTTTCTCATTTTAACGACTAAGATTACTTCTCATTTTTCATATAAGTAGTACTTTGTATTTGAACCTCTTTCTATACTTGTATACTTCGTATAACACTTTTACGATGATTGTAGTATAAGATTTTTAGAGCTTTTATTTACTACGAATTGAACACAAAAATTACTTGAAAACATTATTCAACATTTTATAAGGGGATCCAACATAGATCTACAACCCCAAATGAGTCGAAAGGTTTAAGTACGTAGTATCTGCTAAGAGAATTGCTTTGTTTATGTCTAGTGGAGCGGAGCAACTAGCAACTAACCACAGATGGTCTACGAAATCATGTTTGGTATGAACTATGATTATGATTTTAGGTTGACCGGTTTCTGAAAACCAGGTAAGATGGCGGGTCGGGTCACCACCTTCAAACAATAATAAATCATTGAGCAACGCCACAACCAGTGTGGGCTTCTGACCCATTGTGAACTAGACTTGCTATTTTGGGCTTATAATTCAACATGGATCAATAAAAAAGTCGGGATGGACCATTTACTTTTGCTATTAGTAAATTATTATTGGATGTTCGGCTTTCTATTTTGGGATTTATCATCAACGAGAAACACATGTATACAAATGTCAGAATAATTTGCTGAATGCTTGATTACAGGGTAATAGAATAGAATACAACAGCATATCAAAAACTGCCATCTGGCATCAACAGCAAAATGAAATTAAAATGTTCCTTCTCGTTTAATATAATGACTACTATACACCATGTGGATGAAGCCACGTCACACTAACAACTCGATCATCACCCACTCCCTCCATTCCATTACAAACACAGTACGAGGAAGACGCAACGGTCCATTGCAAACCCGCTGGAGGATCCATCCATTTCGAGTATCGACTTCTTCTTTTTTCAAAACTTCATTAGGCGCGCGCGCTAAACCCTAGTAGAGAGAGAGAGCCTTAGGGGGTTTCTTTGTGGGTTTATTTCCCTCCATTTGGAAAAAGAATCTCATTCGAAATGAAAACATAAGGCGGGTTGAGCAACAACTTCCTAACTGCCATTTGAATCAAATTGGAGGGAGGGAGGGAGGAGCAAAGTCAAATATCCGCGGGGAATACATGAGAAGAATCAATCCACGACCGTTTTTTTAAAACATTGTACTGTGAGAAGAGGGTAAACCACCGTATCCTCATCACAAATTTCCCTCGAAAAATATGGATATACGGAGTATATATTTGATCCCGCCAACAACACACGCACGCCAGGTAAAGGCTCATTCATGACTGGACTTTCCTCCACCGTTTCATAGCCATGTCCATTGCTGGCATCACCTCTGGCGCTTTGGAGGCCTGCCATTCTCTAACACCCCATCGTTGCTGTCATCATCATCGTCGTCATCGTCGTCGTCATCGTCGTCGTCACCGTCTTCATCGTCGTCTTCTTCATCGCTGTCATCATCTCCATCTTCTTCTTCCCTCTTCCTCTTCAAGGATGCCAACTCCTGAACTTCACCATCTTCATCGTCCTCTCCATCATCTCCATGACTTATCCTGATAGCAGCACCAGCTTCACTGAGCCCAACTGGCTGAACCAAGTACCCAGCTCCATTGTCTTCTTCTTCCTGCCAAGTGCCAACACAATGCTTATCAGCTAAATACAACATATACTGTGCAGCTTAAATTAAACCATCAACATTTAGTTCAAACTGAGAAGCCAGGTTTTACTTGCATTTAACATGTACAACCCAAACAGCTAAGAAAAAAATGTATGATGAAAAAAATTAAATTCACAAACCGCCAAATATACAAATCATCAAACTCTTCAATATAATTATTACATGTAATATGCATGAACTACCCCGCCCCAAATTAAAAAACAAATACTCCGTAGATTCATATTTGATGAGGGTACAATCTTTTTTAAAATATGGAAAGGGAAAGTTTTTCAAACATGTATTCCATATAAACATCTTATATTTAGAAGCCACCCAAACAAACTAATCATCAAAGTATTCAATGATCTAAAATGACTACAAACTCCTTCAACAATTTCTGAAAACAATATTCACATTTGCACAGATACACTTCAAATTTTGGCAAGATACAGACTCTTAAAAGATATGGATATTCATTCACTCTTATTTTTTTATTATATTTTATGTAACTTTATCATATCAAATTATAAAAACTGTTTGTAATAATTTTTTTTTCAAATTACATGAAAAACTACTCTTCATCAATGAAATACTACACTTCTTAGGCCAACACATACTACGTAATTAATTCAAGAATGAAAATTATCAAAGAGAACATACCTATTCTTTGGAAATCGAAAAAATAAATCTCAACA